CTCAACATAACCTCAGGGAAAAGAGGTGTAGCCAGGATGCGTTGCTTGCTCCAGTAGGACCTGATACTGGGCTTTTTAACAATACCCATCATAAGGGTTAAAGCCCAAAACCGCTTCATCTCTGCGACATCCGTGGGTCTCCACATATTCCTGCGACCATGATGGGACCCCGGATGTGCAGAGAGATACTGCATTGCAAACAAATTCGTTTGCTGAGCCATGAGCTCAAATATATCGTCTGACACAAAGAGCTCAAAAAAACGAATTGGCTCGCAGTCGTCCACTGTTACAGTGATGCCAGGTGTAACAGTGAACGGCGGTATTTCTGGGGCCATCATATTTGGAGGCACCCAGTCTCCGCCTGGCATTGGGCTTGCTGAGGGTCCTCTTGTGAGTGGTGGTGGGGCACCATCACTTGAGGTCTCACTCAGAGGCTCAATGTCAGAGGCAGTGATAGTGTCACTGTCTTGCAGAGTGTCACTATCACTGCCTGCCAGAATGGCATACGCCTCCTCGGCTGAGTAGCGACGTGCCATTCTAGGGGGACAAATTAATTAATGTATATACTAAAATGGGTAATTAATTATCTACCTGCCTAACACCTACTACCCGCCCTCAAAAAATAATATAAATGTACTGATCACAGTATAGGCAGCTGCAATCAGTACACTGAAAGGGTTATTTTTAGATCTATAAAAATAACCCTAAAAAAAAGTCAGTCTGATCAGAGAGCCCTCTGATCACAGTGATCACTGATACAGTACTGTACAGCAGATATACTGTACAGTATAGTGATCACGGCAGCGGGGAAAGGGTAATGGAGATTTGGGTTGCTGCGACTGACACAAAGGGTCGAAAAACTTAGAAATAATTTTTTTTGATCCAAAAAAATAATAATAAATAAATACCCTAATCAGGTTGATCACAGTAATATGCTGTGATCAGCACTGAAAGGGTTAAATAAAATATAAATTTTAAAACTTTAAAAAATTTTTAAAACTTTGTTTTTCCACAGGAGCTGCAAAAGCAACGATCTCTCTGCCTCTCTCTCTCAGATCGAAGTGAGGTGAGGAGAGGGGCAGAGACAATGTGTCAGCCAGTGATCTGAGATCATTGGCTGACACATACTAACAGTGATCACAGTGACTGGCTGTCACTGTGATCACCTCCTACAGATCGCGGTAATTGGCCACAGGGGGAGTGCCTGGGTGGTACAGGCATGCCCCCCACCGCGATCTGTAGGAGGCTAATGGCTGCAGTTACATGTGTCAGCCAATAGGCTGACACATAGTAACACTGATCGCACTGACAGGCTATGGCAGCCTGTCAGTGCGATCTGATTGCAGCCTGACAGTGCAGATCGCGGTCACTGACCCCAGGGGGGCCAGGCATGTCCCCCGACCGCGATCTGCTGCAGGATATGCAGCCGGCTCCATGTGTCAAATCGGCTGACACATGGTAAATACCGATCGCAGTGACAGCCTGTCACTGTGATCAGAAGCTGCAGACCGCGGTCCCCAGGCACAGGGGGGCTGCCTGGGGGGCCAGGCATGCCCCCCGACCGCGATCTGCAGCGGCCATGTGCCGCCGGCCACGTGGGGGGTAAGACCGCACAGGACGTTCTATGCCGTCCTGCGGCGTTTAGAGCCGGCCAATTAAGGACGGCATAGAATGTCCTGCGGTCTTAAGGGGTTAATGAGTTTTTTGGGTTCATTGAGAACATGGTTGTTGTTCAATAATAAAATTAATCCTCAAAAATACAACTTGCCTAATAATTCTGCACTCCCTGTATCTCTGTTCTTTATCCCCTCATAGTATTGGCAAGGCCTTTGCTAAATATTATACTTCATCATGCAATTGAAAAGAAAATGGTTTCTCTCAGAACGAATTAAAAGCTTTTCTTTATAAACATAATCTTCCTAAACTAAAGCCTGGTAAATTGGAAAATTTTAATAAATCCATTGAACCTGAAGAAATCAAGCGAACAATTGCTAAGCTTAGCAATGGGAAAGCACCTGGACCAGATGGTTTTACAGCCTATTTCTATAAATCTTTTGAAACCGTGATAACTCCTCTTTTACTAAAAACATTCTTAGATAAAAACAACTTCCAAAAGTTTTTCTTCTGAAATGTTAAAAGCTACGATTTCCCCAATCCAAAAACCTGGGAAAGACTTACATTATATATCCAATTACCGCCCGATTTCTCTTATTAATTTAGACATTAAAATATTTTCAAAAATTTTAACAGACAGACTTTCCCAGATAATTTCAGATCTAATCCACCTAGATCAATCTGGCTTCTAAAGAGGAAGATCAGCTAGTAATAATATTCGCAAGATTCTGAATATGATGATTAAAGTTGATAAAAAATCTGTCCCTACAGTTTTTATAGCTGTCGATGCCGAAAAGGCTTTTGACAGAGTAAATTGGAAATTTATTTTGGCTACACTTTCTGTGTTTGGGATTGAGGAAACGTCTAAATATTTAAAAATGTCCCTATACTCTTATCCCATGGCAAAAAATATATGGTAACGGTCTAGATTCCGAATGGTTTACTATTAGAAATGGAACCCCCCAGGGATGCCCTTTGGCACCCCTCCTTTATATTCTATTGAAAAAAACACAGGTCCCACAACATAATCTTTCAACCTCTGAAATAGAAAATTTGAATAAAGACCATAAGTTAAACTGGTCTAATTCTCCCTGTTATCTAAGAATAATTATCAAATTTAATATTGATGAGTGGACCTACAACTTACTTCTTAAAGAATTTAGAAATACTATTTTAAAATGGTCAAAATTGCAAATATCATGGCTTGGAAGAATGAACATTATAAGGGCATATTTACTTCCAAAATTGGAATCTCTCTTTCATACAATTCCCCTTAGAGTCCCAAAGAAGATCCTTCAGCTATTGCATTCTTTATTTCTATCTTACATTTGGGGCAATAAGAAACCAAGGATTGCGCTTAGAATTATGTCAGCCAGACTAATAGAAGGAGGTTTATCTTTTCCGAACATTTTTTATACACATGATACTTTTTAGAATGGGGAAACAGTAAATCAAGGTTGAAAGCATTGTATATATATATATATGAAAGGAAAGTGTGTACAGTAGTACTTTTGAGTGGATAAGAAACAATATAAAAATCTACTTATTGATAACCCACTCATTTTTCATACTTTTCAATCTATAAAGCCGATAAAGAAACATTTGTTTTCCCAAAATCAAATCTCCTTAAATGCTCCTTTGAAAATTTTGAAACTATTTATGCAAGATCTAATTGGATGGCTGGCCGGAGATGGGGAAAAACATTTTTAAGATATTTATGGTAATTCCGAGATTAGTAGCTTTTTGTACCTCCAGGAAAAAATTGGAATACCAAATTCAGAGTATTTTACATACCTAACAATACGTGACTTTCTCCATAAGAAACCTATAGTTAGAGATTCTTCTTTTGACAAAATATTCTTTGGAGAGAATTATCATAAAACTTCAACCATTAGAAGAGCCTTGGATGTATTAAACCAGGGTGTAAAACTTAACACTGTTATTAAGTGGGAAGCCGATTTGGGTAAATCTTTTCCCTGTCAGGATTGGTTAAATTCATTTGTAGCACTAAGAAACCCAATACATTGTATAAATATACAAGAAACTTTCCTTAAACTAATACATAGGTGGTATATAGTCCCTACGAAAATATGCAAATTTCAAATAAACTCAACCAACGTCTTTTGGCGCTGTAATAAAGAACCTGTCTCACTTAAACATATTTGGTGGGATTGTACTGGTTTGGACTCTATTAGACTTGGATGTGTAAACTTTTTGCCAATTTAAATATCAATTTGTCCCCAGAAAGATTCTTATTCCATTTAGACATGTCAAAAATGGATAAATCCTCCTTGTATATGTCCATACATGTTTTGATGGCTGTTAAACTTTGTATCACCAGAAAGTGGAGACAGGAGGAACCTCCCTCCCTGATTAAGGCCCAAATCCATAATCAAGAGCTAATGGAAAAGGCGGTATACTTTAAAGATAATAATATTGCTACCTACAATAAGATATGGAGAAATTGGTTAGACTACTATGAAGAATAAAAGCTTACCTTCCAGTAAATAAAACCCCTGCATAGTTGCACTTATTTGCTAAACCATTAATAATATTAATCTGAAAGTGGTTCAGAGTTAAATTAAAGGGACACTATAGTCACATGAACAACTTTAGCTTAATGAAGTAGTTTTGGTGTATAGAACATGCCCCTGCAGCCTCACTGCTCAATCCTCTGCCATTTAGGAGTTAAATCCCTTTGTTTATGAACCCTAGTCACACCTCTCTGAATGTGACTTGCACAGCCTTCCATAAACACTTCCTGTAAAGAGAGCCCTATTTAGGCTTTCTTTATTGCAATTCTGTTTAATTAAGATTGTCTTATCCTCTGCTATGTTAATAGCTTGCTAGACCCTGCAAGAGCCTCCTGTATGTGATTAAAGTTCAATTTAGAGATTAAGATACAATTATTTAAGGTAAATTACATCTGTTTGAAAGTGAAACCAGTTTTTTTTTTCATGCAGGCTCTGTCAATCATAGTCAGGGGAGGTGTGGCTAGGGCTGCATAAACAGAAACAAAGTTATTTAACTCCTAAATGACAGTGAATTAAGCAGTGAAATTGCAGGGGAATGATCTATACACTAAAACTGCTTTATTTAGCTAAAGTAATTTAGGTGACTATAGTGTTCCTTTAATATATTAAAGAAATAATAACAATTGCGTCCATCTCTCTGTTCTCAATGGATGTCCCTATGTCTTATATGTTGTATGTGTTATTCATGTTGTACAGAGTATGTATTACTCCCTTCTGTAGATTTAACTTTGGATAAGCAACTCATCTTGGGAATATATTAATATCTTAGATAGCGATACTTAAAGTTTACCATTTTGAGGAATATTAGTTGGGAATTAAATTACAATTCTTGTAAAAAAACAAATAAAAATATAAAAGTACAAAAGAATTTATATTTATTCAAACAATACACGCCATCCGAAAATAAAAAAAATATTGGCACACATCTGGACCAATACAGCAATATGTATGCACTTCAAGTTAATATACATTTTTGATGCTAAGTATTGGTGGTGAATGTTTATCTGCAAAAGCTTTTATATGTCTACGAATTCAATTAATTAGGATAAGTACACATAAGTATAAGGCTATTTGATTCTTTAAAATAAGTGTAAAAAGGGTTGTGACTTAATCCCCATTCTGCCCAATCTATTTATAATACATTATAAAAATGGTTATAGGACTTTACTATATATGTTTAAATGAATACATTCAGAAAGAGTCCCTTCTTAATACACATGGGAGTCTGGCCTGGAATGCAGGGTTGAAGGTTATAACAACAGGTCTTCATCAATCTATCTGAAAAAAAAACCCATATGTGTTGACCATTGATATACAATTGACATAAGTCCTATAATTAATGTGTAGGTAGGGCCTCTCAGTTCCTGTGTATGAAATAAGTCTGAAATTATGTAATTTGCAACTAATACAAGAATGATAATATTACAAAGAAACAAATCCTGCAACACAGATATTTTAAAGCTCATTAAATATTTTTCAGGAGGCTCTTTATTTGACTCTATGAATGTCTGATTTGATAACGTGACAAAATTGGTATATTTATTAGTTATAGTCTCAGCTGCATTGTATGCCTTAAGAAAAACCCTAGAGAATTAGAAGTAAACATAACCTTTGCTTGAAGTCTGTATTAATATGGGGATTGGGGGAACTAGCCTTTAGAGTTAGCAATGCAGGTTAGGCACCCCGGATGATAGCATCATATGTACATTGACTGCTACTATGACAGTTACGATTTATTGTGTCAGCATGAGACGAATTCACACAAGATATTTTATTCCTATGTTAATGCATAGATGCATTATAAATTTTTAGAGACTCATCACCTGTGTGAATTCTCTGATGTATAATAAGATGTGAATGTTGAGTAAAACATTTTCCACATTCAGAACATGAGAACGGTTTCTCTCCAGTGTGAGTTCTCTGTTGTGTAATAAGAGCTTAGTGACAGCGAAAGCATTTTCAACATTTAGAACACGTGAATGGTTTCTCTCCTGTGAGTTCTCTGATGACTGAAGAGCTCTGCTTTAGTGACAAAACCTTTTCAACAATATGTACATGAGAAAGGTGTTTCTCCTGTGTGAGTTCTCTGATGACAGACCAGCTTTTTTTCCACATTCAGAACATGAGAACGGTTTCTCTCCTGTGAGTTCTCCGATGTTTAACAAAACTTGAGTAACACCTATAACATTTTCCACATTCATTGCATAAGAAAGGTTTCTCTCCTGTGTGAGTTCTCTGATGGGTCATTAGAGTTAAATACTTACTAAAACATTTTCCACATTCAGAACATGAGAACGGTTTCTCTCCTGTGTGAGATTTCTGATGACAAATAAGTCGTGCTTTATCAACAAAGCATTTTCCACATTCAGAGCATGAGAATGGTTTCTCTCCTGTGTGCGTTCTCTGATGTGTCATTAGAGTTAAATAATTACTAAAACATTTTCCACATTCAGAACATGAGAACGGTTTCTCTCCTGTGTGAGTTCTTTGATGTGCAGTAAGAGTTGAGTTATAGCGAAAACATTTTCCACATTCAGAACAGGAGAAGGGCTTCTCTCCTGTGTGTATTCTCTGATGTTGTTTAAGAGCTGACTTACAGCTATAACATTTTCCACATTCAGAACATGAGAACGGTTTCTCTCCTGTGTGAGTTCTTTGATGTGCAGTAAGAGTTGAGTTATAGCGAAAACATTTTCCACATTCTGAACAGGAGAAGGGCTTCTCTCCTGTGTGTATTCTCTGATGTTGTTTAAGAGCTGACTTACAGCTATAACATTTTCCACATTCAGAACATGAGAACGGTTTCTCTCCTGTGTGAGATCTCTGATGACAAATAAGTCGTGCTTTATCAACAAAGCATTTTCCACATTCAGAGCATGAGAATGGTTTCTCTCCTGTGTGCGTTCTCTGATGTGTCATTAGAGTTAAATAATTACTAAAACATTTTCCACATTCAGAACATAAGAACGGTTTCTCTCCTGTGTGAGTTCTTTGATGTGCAGTAAGAGTTGAGTTATAGCGAAAACATTTTCCACATTCAGAACATGAGAACAGTTTCTCTCCTGTGTGAGTTCTTTGATGTGCAGTAAGAGTTGAGTTATAGCGAAAACATTTTCCACATTCAGAACATGAGAACAGTTTCTCTCCTGTGTGAGTTCTTTGATGTGCAGTAAGAGTTGAGTTATAGCAAAAACATTTTCCACATTCAGAACATGAGAACGGTTTCTCTCCTGTGTGTATTCTTTGATGTATCATAAGACTTTGTTTACAGACAAAATCTTTCCCACATTCATTGCATAAGAAAGGTTTCTCTCCTGTGTGTACTCTCTGATGTGTAACAAGACTTGAACTTTTCCTAAAACATTTTCCACATTCAGAACATGAGAACGGTTTCTCTCCTGTGTGTGTTCTTTGATGTGCAGTAAGAATTGAGTTACGGCTAAAACATTTTCCACATTCAGAACAGGAGAACGGTTTCTCTCCTGTGTGTATTCTCTGATGTATCATAAGACTTTGTTTTCCAACAAAATCTTTCCCACATTCATTGCATAAGAAAGGTTTCTCTCCTGTGTGTATTCTCTGATGTTGTTTAAGAGCTGACTTAAAGCTATAACATTTTCCACATTCAGAACATGAGAATGGTTTCTCTCCTGTGTGTATTCTCTGATGTATCATAAGATTTTCTTTACAGGCACAATCTTTCCCACATTCATTGCATAAGAAAGGTTTCTCTCCTGTGTGTACTCTCTGATGTATAACAAGATTTGAACTTTTCCTAAAACATTTTCCGCATTCAGAACATGAGAAAGGTTTCTCTCCGGTGTGTATTCTCTGATGTACCATTAGACTTTGTTTACAGACAAAATCTTTACCACATTCATTGCATAAGAAAGGTTTCTCTCCTGTGTGCGTTCTCTGATGTGTCATTAGAGTTAAATATTTACTAAAACATTTTCCACATTCAGAACATGAGAACGGTTTCTCTCCTGTGTGAGTTCTTTGATGTGCAGTAAGAGTTGAGTTATAGCGAAAAAATTTTTCACATTCAGAACATGGGAACGGTTTCTCTCCTGTGTGTATTCTTTGATGTACCATAAGACTTTGTTTAGAGACAAAATCTTTCCCACATTCATTGCATAAGAAAGGTTTCTCTCCTGTGTGTACTCTCTGATGTATAACAAGATTTGAACTTTTCCTAAAACATTTTCCGCATTCAGAACATGAGAAAGGTTTCTCTCCGGTGTGTATTCTCTGATGTACCTTTAGACTTTGTTTACAAACAAAATCTTTACCACATTCATTGCATAAGAAAGGTTTCTCTCCTGTGTGCGTTCTCTGATGTGTCATTAGAGTTAAATATTTATTAAACCATTTTCCACATTCAGAACACGAGAAGGGCTTCTCTCCTGTGTGTATTCTCTGATGTTGTGTAAGAGCTGACTTCCAGCTATAACATTTCCCACATTCAGAACATGAGAATGGTTTGCGGTTTATGTTTACGATCTCATTTGAGAACATATTGGAATCTGAGAAAATGCTTGACTGCTTGGTTCGGTTATTCAAAGATTTCTGCATAGCCTTGCTGCATGGATTTCTGTTCTGGTCACCTCTTTCAGAAATGCCGCTCCTGGGAAATACACCTGAAAAAAATATATACTGTGAGTTAAATGAAATCGGTCACAATAAATTGTTTGCCATACTTAGAAAAATGACAAAAGTTTTGCAATAGATAAGAAATACGACTATCGGGTATCATGGTGACTGTAGCGGAGAGGTAGTATAATCCACAATGACAGGAAAAGCAGGTAATAATCAAAAGTAGGCAGGTACAGTATACAATAATCCAGGTAGCGTTATAAGAATACTTTCCTCCCAAGAACTAAACGACACATAGGCTGGGAGTCAACTGAGCTTTTAATCACAGGTCACAATATTTATGCAGTTCCCCATGCAAGGGGTTTCCTTAATTACTTACAGGGGTTATACAGTAGGGGACTACATGGGGAACTGAACATACAGGACATTACTCCCATCATGCACTGCTGTACGAGAGGGATACTCCCACAAGAATATTCTGTTAAGTGGATTATCCCGCCGTACAGCAGAACCGACTTTTTACATAAAAACAATAATTTTTATATTATTCGTGCCATTGTACTGAATGAACGTTCGGCAGATAGCTGGGGTCTGAGCGAATACTTCGTGAAAGTACCGCTCAGATCCCAGCACAATTAGCCCAACGCCGCACAAAATACACTTTCCTATAAACTTCTCATAAACGGCACGAATCCATGTGAAGAGAGAAAATACCGAAAGGCCGGTGGGCCCGAACGGCCTGGAAGTGCCGTCGAGTATCCGATTTAAGTTCCAGGCACTCGACGACAAAACACAGCTGAGCTAAAAAAGGATCCACCCTGAAACCCCATTAACTACCGCCAGCAACATTGTTGCCATCTGTAATGGGAGCCACACGACCTCCTGTGTGTGGTCTCCCATTCGGTACTTTGTTCGTTTCACGAACAGTGTTAAAATTCACTGTTCGTGAAACTACCATAGGAATGCTAGCGGCTTTTCGTGCTGTTAGCATACGAATGCTCTCATTTACATAATAGGGAACACGGACATTTCAGACAGGCTTAAAGCAATACTATCATATAATGTAACTACAGTCTTACGTGGCTAGGTATGCAGGTCTTCCACCAGGTGGACACTCACCTAGGGGACCTGGTGGAAAACTGACAAAAATGACAAAGTAACCAATCACAGTATTAGAGGCATAAACACTCCCCTTTAGCTGTGAAGAACCCTCCTCTCTATCCTGGAGATAATTGGGAAGTAATTCAATTATCTCCCAGGATAGAGGCAAAACTCCATTTTACATGTGGCAGAAAAAACACAAAAATATATAACATAAAAACTACCGAATGCACTAGGTACAATTAACGAATGCACTAATTACAATCACATACATACAGTTCAATCGCCATGTAGCCAAAGTCTTTCACATAGTCTTTCATTATACGAATGGGCTCCATGGCATAGCTATCTGGGGTAAGTCCATTCGTGCCGAAAAAGTACCAAACGAGACGGCGTTCGAATGCTGGATTAACAGAAGAAGGGAGGTCAGCGAACACCGCTGGGCATTCGTACGTCCAAGATGGCCACCGACTCGTGGTCGGCATACGAACGACAACCACCCAGCCGACATTCGACAATTGGGAGCTGTCTGCGGTTAACCACAAGGTTCTGATGGGGCCAAGAGGTTAACAAGCAGCACACTTCCATGCTGGGTGGCCCGCCGTTTGGAAGTTGTTCGGTAAAAGAGCAAATAAATGTAGGGGCTATACGGACAGGGGAAATAGCCAAACAAACAGACGAATAGAGGGAAAATAAAAGTAATTCACAGACAGATGAGTCTGTAACATATATTTATTACAGATGTACCTAGTGTTTTTCAGCATTGTCCACACACCTGTCTCTCCACTCTAAGGGTTTTGACATACTGTCTTAGTTTGATCATGATTTTTAGCTCTTTAAAATTCATATACAGCTAGAGCCAAGGCTTGTGCATGCGAGTTCTCTCTGGGTATTGAAACTAATCAAACAGAAGAGAGGGGATTTATAATAGCATTAAAGACGGGAAAAAAAATTCTAGTCATCTTATTATGTTCCAAACACAAACACCTGGAACAAAATAACATTTTTAAAGAATACGTCCCCTAAAAAATCAACTTAAATTATCCAGAGAGATCCCGAACAACGGTCAAACCATATGAACGCCTGCTTCCTTTTCCCGAACAGCTACGAGAGCGCTATTTGGTAGCTTGGTTCCCACGAACCAGGGGAACAATCGCTACTAAGAGCCAGGGGGTTCCGTTCGTGCATTAGTTCGGTTTTGTGATTTGTCGAAATAGACCGACCGCACAACCTTAACCCCTGGAACTGTTTCTGGGCATGAACCTCTTGTGCAGTTGGTCCAAATTCACTGTCCAACGATTTAGTCCATATCAAGCTTACAAGCTATTTTGCAAAGTTAAAACCAGGTTTCAATACCTAATTTTTCGGAAGCAACCTTCCCAAGCAAATTTAAATGACGGATCTTTTGGACGAGTTATTAGATCCTACCATAAATCCAGACGACATTCAAAATGTTTTTTCCAACAATCCACTATCCAAAAATAATACAATACAAAAACTATACCAGCAACACATTAGATGTTTTGGGGAATTAACAAGTCTCAACCAATACATAGAACAAAAACTGGTACCTAGGTCTCCGTCCGGATATACTATTACCTGACAAAATCCAAAAAGACGAACAATTAAATGAATGGAACACCATTTTACTAGATTGTTCCTCAAAATTAATGACTTTCCGTGTAAAACTTGAAACCACACATTTGGAATAAACTAATCAAAAATTACAAAATGAGATCACCCAAATAAAGAAATTTAAAACAGGTACTCTCTTTTCACCTATGGAAACGAAAATTACAAAAAAATATAGAACATTTTAGACAAAATCTAAAAGGAAAGAAACACAAAATTTCAAAGATTTTAAAGACTGATATCTTCTGTAAAAAAATGCAATTTTTGTAGACGTTTAAATAGTCAGAGAGGATCTACATCTGTAGACACAGAGGTCAGACTCAGATACCAGTTCCTCAAAATCACGACAAAGTCACTATACCAACAGCAATCGCAACAGCGATTGTGCCCCTAATCATTCTCCTAATAGGAGTATTCCTAAAAAGCACTAATAAATCAGTCTCCTTTTTGGACACTCTGATTCCATCAGATACTAGCAATTCCATTGGTTTCAATATTTTTTGAGGACAGGACCCCCCTCGCGAACAGAGGGGGAGGTTGAGGGACCGGGATCGCTGTGCATACAAGAGACAGGGACGAGGACAGAGACTTTGACGCTAAACAAAATCATTATCCTCTCTGATTATCCCCTCCAACCACGTCACATCGCTTTGCTTAATAAAGGTCTTTCATACGTACCAACTCCAAGTTACAATAAATTCATTTGGTCCAAGGACATAAACCTCTTTGGCAGGAAATTGGCCCTTAACTTAATGCACTCTAAAAAAAAGATTTCCAAACCGCTAATGAACTTGGTCTATATGTTGAGGATTATGTATTCTCCAAAGTATTTACGGATCTATTGGATGAACAAAGTCCCAGTAAACCCTTGACCAATTTAAAACCTCAAAGTTGGTTTACTCCTACCCTGAAGGATACCCCACATGTTTAACTTTTCGTAGAAATGACTACTAGTGAACTAGAAAATAGTCACTTTGAACATCCACCCACCAACAATCTTACTCACAATGAGAGGAAAGCCCTTTATTCACTAAATATGTTGGATAATGTTGTAATTAAACCAGCGGATAAAGGAGGGAATATCGTTCTACTAAACCATGACAGATAGCTTGAAATGTGCACGTCACATCTAAATGACCAGTCATGTTACAGTGTCCTCCCATCTGATCCTACTAACAGCTACATAAGAGAACTGGAAGATCTTCTAACTAAAGCACTAAAACAAAAAATAAATCAGTTCTGACGAGTTTAAGTATCTACTGCCTCAAACAGCCAACAATAGCTACCCTATACTGTTTACCTAAAGTGCATAAAAATATGAGTGTACCCCCTGGGAGGCCGATCATCTCAGAGAACAACTGAGGAAGGCTGAACTTGATGGACGTAAGTTTCTTTTCCGCTATGTAACTACCTAACGGAGAGAGAAATTAAATTTGTTGATAAAGGACATTGTGTCTATTGGTTTAATATTTTTCTTCTTTTTCCCTTATCATACAATTAGGTTTATCTTTATTGTTTCACTATTTTATTTATCTTGTCTAACATTAAAAGTTATCTTTTAAATTATCCTAGCATAGGACAGTGTTTCTCTCCTTCTCTACTTATATTGGACTTCCATGAAATTCAGAAAACCCTGGACTGATCTGGGTGATTTTTGAATATGCTGGTCACCCAGATGAGGGCTATCAGGGGATATGACATTTATGGGGTTATTTTATGTTTTGGGGAACTGTTCAAGTTTAGTGAAAATAATGTTTTTTCGACCTGGAAATAATTAAATGTATTTCTTTATCTGACTCAATTATCTCCAGGCAGAGAGGAGGGAATTGCATGTTTGTATTGGACTGTCACAATTTGTAACTGCATTGTTATTGGCTGTACTCTTTGTGTCCCTGTCCCCCACATGGTCCACAGGGGAGTGCCCTTTGCATGGGGGAATTGTATAAAAGCCATTGTGGCACCAATAAAGCTTCAGTCTTGTTACACCCTTCATCAAGTTTCGGCTGATGTTTGGGTACCTGTTCACATCATTGGGAGAATCTGCTGGGAAAGCTGTACCTGATGGGGAGAAAGAGACGAACGGACACCCGAACTGCGAGCTATAATCACTCATGCTCACAGCAGTTTGAGTGGAAACAAACGAACCGATAGCTACCACATCAGGGTTCGTTACAATTGGTGGCAAGCAGAGGGATTTGTATCCCGAATGGACGTCCCGAATCGGAGGAAAGATGAATGGCTCAGCTGTATGAGTTACTAAAGCGAACTATGTTGAAAGACCTGCTGGAAGCTCGAGGCATAGCGGCAAGTAATAAGAAGAAAGATCCACACCAATTGCAGAGTTATTACAGAGCGACAGAGCCAGCAACATGGAAGGAAAGCAACCAGAGGAAAAAGAGTTCCAAAAAGAGGTGAGATGGATGATAGGTTTATTGGGGCCCAATCCATCACAAGAGTCAGTGGTACAAATCGTAACGCATGCCAAAGACTCGCAGGTAGCTTGGGAATCAAGAGAAGGATCCCCAGGATATACAAATGGGCGCCCACGGAAGGTAAACTATGCAGCCTTCAAAGCATTTATTAATGGGGAAACGGACATCGATAATTACCTACAGGACTTTGAGCGACCGTGTACTTTGGAAGGACTAGAAACAGACAATTGGGCTGCGGTTCTCAGCAGCAAGCTCTCAGGACGGGCAGCGGAAGCTTACCGGGCAGCACCTGATGAGGACATACAAAATTATGGGAAAATCAAAGAAATTTTATTGGCCAGATTTGCGGTCACACCAGAGTCATACCGGAGGAAATTCCAGGGACCTCAGGAAAGGAGGGAAGGATTCCTTTACCGAATGGGCATTCCGTATACACCGTGCTGCAAGGCCACATCATTGGAGGATGCGGTACAAATTCTATCCTTGGAACAGTTCTACGACAATACCTCCACAGAAATCAGAGACTTGGTAAGAGACCGCAAACCCAAGACTGTGAAGGAGGCCGCCAGACTGGTATGGAACCCAGCTGAGGGCGACCAGTTTCCAGGCCCTCCTACCAGGTACCACCTACCTCGACACCTAGCAGACCCGCTCCTTACAACCCTACCCTAACCCCCCAAAGTCGTGGTCCTATTACATGCCACCTTTGCAAGCAGATGGGACATAAAGCAATATTGCCCCAACCGGAACCGGGGAGGTTGGGAAAGGTCAGCACCTCAACCCAGCCGAGCAGCGGCCCATTGCTGTCAGCAGGAGAGTTCCAGAGCACAGTGAGGAGCAGTGGACCACTCTGCACGAAGTGAATCCAGTGCAAGCAGCAGGCGACAACCGAGATCATCATCGCCAGTGGGTCACCATTGACGGCATGGACGCCAGGGTCCTGAGAGACACAGGGGCCACACTCACCATAATCGAGCCACACAAAGGACAACAGGCTCTTATATTGGGTAACAGATGGAGCAGGGAGTGGCGCAAAGCAATTAGTAAAAATAAAACAAAAAAACAGCTAGGAGTACCCTGAAGATTGAGGGCTGAGTTACTCAAGCTCAGCCATGATATTCCATTGGCAGGTCATTTAAGAGAGACTAAAACTAAGGATAAATTAACTCAGATCTTATTCTGGCCAGGTATTTCCCAGGATCTAAAGCATTATTGCAGAACTTGTGATGTGTGTCAAAGGACAGGGAGGAGATCGCCAGAGAGCCAAACTGCACCCCCTACCTATCACTGAGGAACCATTTAACAGGCTGGCCATAGATTTAATAGGACCAAGCAGTAAACCTAGTGCCTCCGGAAAGCGCTACATCCTCACGGTAGTAGACTATGCTACTAGATACCCTGAGGCCGTAGCCCTTTCCAATATAGGGACAGAGAGTGGCGGAAGCCTTAGTGAAAATCTTTACTCAGGTAGGCTTCCCCAGGGAGATTTTGTCTGACAGAGGGACACAGTTCACCGCAATTGTGACCCAACAATTATGGCAGAGTTGCGGCATGAAACCGTTGTTCAGCTCTCCCTACCATCCCCAGACCAATGGACTAAGCAAACGTTTTAACGGCACACTCAAACAAATGCTAGGAACGTTCACAGCGTTCTGTCCACACTGGGAGACTTTCCTTCCCCACCTCCAG